TTACAATTCAAATTATCATACAACTCTGAAAAATATTTGCATGTCTGAGTATACTACACTTCAAGTTTAGATCCCAAGAAATATATACTGCAACGAACACTAGAAAGGAGCTAAGACTTTGAATTTAGCTGGAGCTTATATGATCCTACTCATGTAAAATGAAGCATAATATTCTACAATTAATACATTTTAGTTATAGAGATTCCCTAAAGTATTATTTTCATGTATACTTATGATATCTAACACAAAATATACAGAATTCATCTAATTTTCCTTAGTTTAAATATACAATGATTTTCTTTGCAGAAACATTGACATTTGCTCTTTTATTAAGAAATACGATTGTTTTCTGTAAAAGTAAGAAGTGCTAGAAAATTATGTTGCAAATGGTTAAACTGTTTCTTCAGTTGGCTTCTCATTTTTTCTCAATATACAGGAGATCTCTTCTGTCTATGAAATTACATTGATTTCATTAGTGAAAGATGAAGTTGCTGCTTATTTTTAGGTTAAATGAAAAAATTCTGGTCTAAATATGACTCTAAATCATAAATTATTTCAATAATCATTAATTCAGTAGTCTCCATAGAACCTTGACTTACAATTTACCTAGGTTCAACAGAGACTACTGAAGATGTGAATGACACATCCTTGCGATGGAAGAGGTTACAGTTTCATTTGGGAAGCAAGTATGTAGACAACTAAAGACTACCAGGAATACAAATATAGGTAAGATCCTTAATTCAACTAAAAAAGCATATGAAAAATAAACAGTAATTAACGCACAGTTAGAGAGCAGTTGGGGGGTTGACTTTTGAACACTGTCAATGAGACTGTTAATGTTAATTGTACCTGCATTTCCAAAATTTCTTAGATTTATTCAGATATGTAATACCAAAAATAAAGATAAAATTAAGTTAAAATGTCAGTAGGGAAACAATGATACGCAAGTTAATTTTTAGAATTCTCTTTCTGCTTTGCTTCATTCAATCATTGTCAAGCAACATTATTTGTTTCTCCCAGAAAACTCACATTTAGCCTAGTGTCCCCATGAAATATGTGATTAAAACTATCTTCCTGAATAACATTAGCACCATTAAACCACAATTATTTCACCTATCATACAGAAGCCCAGAGTTACTAAACTGAGTTATAATTCTTAAATCACATTAATTCAGGAAGATTTTAGTGCCTGCTTGTTTAACACAATCTTATAAATGATCCCTTAGAAAGGATGTAAAAATCCACACATATCTTAATGGGCTAATTGTGCTCACTGCAGTGTTGAGTCTATAAAAGCTTTTCAAAAGTGAGAGAAATTATGGCATTTTTATCTTAAATTGCAAACATAATTGCTCTTATAAATATCTTTTTGTTTCTAACTTAAGTGCTATTGGCAGTAGAAATTTCCCCAAAACACTAATAGAGTATTTAACATAATTTCATTTATTGAAAAAAAAATCCAAGGGAAAATAACATACAGCTATCTGAAACTATTTAGCAGGAGGAAAATATCAAAAGGAAAATGAAATTAAATCTAAACTTTGAGATTTGAAATGAAACTAATATTCAATATAAATTTAATACAATGTATATTTGATTAAACTTACACATTTAAATATATTGATGAAACTCAAGAAATAAAAATGACATCCTGGAAACCCAGGACAACAATTAAGAGCCATACAAAAATGAACTGAAACTAACAAGCTAATCCCTATTTTATAGAATTTCCCATTGTTTTATTGAAAAATAAGAATACATTTTAGCTCAACTCATGGAAAGTTAGTACAATTGAAACTAAATTCAATCAGTTGTAAATATTTCCTTGAGAAAACTATTTCAGTTTCTACCCAGTGTTTAACCTCTGCCCTACTCAACATTTTGAATTCCAGTTCCCTAATTTCAATATGTTCAATGTACGTTCAGGGTAGTGATATCACCACTCTTAATTTATTAAGCTTTAAATTAATATGTTAATAAAGTCATCCATACACAAATATATGGCATATTTCTCCCTCTCTAAGCCTCGCTTAGTTTTCTAAGCAGACATGAAGATATGGATTGATTCAGAACTGACATAGTTCACATAAAGATTTCGAGTCTTTAGTCTTTCTTTTTCTGTGTAATAACAACATACATGTTTACTGATAAATATTATGCATATTTGGCAAAGAACGTTTTATATTAGATTTGAAAAAAGTTCCGATCATTCTGTGGTAGCTTTTCTCCTACATAGAAGTAGACAATGCCAGACATTGCTTTTTAAAAATAAGCACTAAGAAAACTAATAAACTGATTAGTCACAAAGGGAACATTATAGGAAAGGAAATAGCTTGGGAGTGAACCCTATGATTTTATTGTTTTCACAGAAAATGCAATAACTCCTCATTGACATCAACTACCCAGTTGCAAGAAGAGTGTACCTTCTGCTTTGGTGAGACACAGATGAAGCAATTAGTAAAAAGTAGTCATCAACCAAGAAGCAAATTAATTTGGGGTAAAATTTTTCCAGTTTAAATGTCTGTTGATTGGCCCTGATCTTTGAAAGGCACATTAAAAAAAAAAGTATTGTGGTAAATAATATGCATTCACAAGAATACCTGGAAATCAGTCTATAAAAATCAGATTATTCCATCACCACCTTTCAAATCACTAATCAGAGCAAAGAAAAATCGATCATGAAAAACAACACAGTCAGGTTCATACAGTCTTTATAACTAAATGAATTAATTGTTCTTCGAGTTACACATTTTATTGACATATGTTTATTATAAAGTTTTTAAAATAAAAATGCATGTTTGGTGAAAAGTTAATACAGTTGTAATTTGTATTTCATCATATTTTAAAATACAAAATAATGGAATTGTTTTTACTCTATTACATGATGTAACTGACTAGCTGGGTTGTAATTCTCAATGTTATAATTATCATAATTCATTGCCATGCCGAAGTCAATTCTGCGTTATGTGTGAAATGAAATACCTCTTTAGTTTAGCCTATTGCATGACATTGTGGTGCACCATGCATCTTTCAAATCTCTTTAAGAAAAATTAATGACAGGCCAAACTTGTGACAAAGTACTGTGAATAACATTGAAGGAAGAAACATTTTAAACAGGGGTATATTATGATTTGTGGTGGAATTAAAAAACACGTAGCAGGAAAAAGAAAAAAAAAAAAGAGTGAACCTAGGTATATATATAATGTACTTAAAGAGAGGACTCAGATTTTTTAAATGGTCCAAATAAAAATTACATTATTTTTAAATACTGCATAGTCAGTGAGCATTTGATGTAAACCTTACAAATATGGTTGGGTGTTTTTTTTTCACTTTAGGGTTTGTTGAAAAGTAGTAACATTAGGCATTGTTTGGCACTTCTGGCAATGTTAGTGACTTCAGTGAATTTCATTATATCTATGATGCATTTCACATATCACTACAAAGAAATGCTGCCAATTGCAGTTAAAATGGGCCCAATTGCAGAGATGTTAATATGGAGAGAGACAAGCATTCTTGAACTCATGAAATAGAATAATACTCCAAATTAAAATTGGGATCAATTACTGGCAATAAGAGATTACATGGTATATTCTTTCTTCCAGAACATTAAAAACTCCATTGCCTGGTGCCTCTCTACAAAAGAACAAAAAATATTGGCATCAATTACACTTTAAATATGTTATCAAAATGGAAAAGGAAAAATATGTTGGTGAGTCCAGTTCATAATAAATACAAAAAGTATTAGGAAAAGGAAGGCAGTTGCTAAATGGGTGTTTTAAAAGTTTCATTATTTTTACTAACATTAAAGAAGAGGTTACTTAACAAAATTTACATTTCACTTGTTCCAGTCTTTTAAAATTTCTGCATTTTATCCATGTACTTTCAATTAAAGCAACTGAACATATGATCTGTAGTGAAAAATGTTGATTCAAATTGTTTGTTGGTTTACGTGAATGATCCAGAACCCATTTGAGATATACATTTTATTACCATCTCAATAAGCCTGATTGCTTTGCACTTCTTCTGATTGCCCCTTTGTTCTTCACATTCATCTGCAATTTTTTAAAAATTTAATCAAAATTAATTTGTGAAGTACCAGCCAGTTCTCATCAACTTCTGAAGCATTGTGTATTCTTACTGTTTGAGATGGTAGGAAAGATTTTAGTATTTTATAAATGCTTAGTAGTAGGATTGAAACTTTTTCTTACAGTAGTTTCTTTGTGCAGGATTACTTAGGATAATAGGACATTTGATTGTTTACTGGAAAGGGACACATGTATATTCAAATATTCTGAAAATAGTCTTTTTTTATTTAATTCTTATTTTTTTGCAAAAGTCTCACTCAAATCAATTTAAAGATCAAGGGAGGGAGAGGCAATGAGTTGAGTCTCCTTTTAGATCTCAAACATTTTCATTGCTACTATCATGAATGAGAGTACAGAAAATCAATTAAAAAGGGTGATCTACTGATAAGAGATAGTGGAGAAAAGGGGCTAGTTGCCACAAAATGGAAGTCAAGATGAAGAGAAATTTTGTAAAAAGTAAAAGAAATGCCCCAGATACCGTGTACTTGAATCTCTTTGGTCTGATAAAGTGTTCAGGTTACTGTGAAACTCTGAAAAAATTTTAATATGCCTAATTCATTCAAATAAGTTATGAAACTCATTTGTTTATTATGTTTAATTTAAAGGGCTTGGTTCAGATCAATTCCATCATTACCTAAATATTCAAACTGGTCCCCTTTTGAACTGACTGAAAATAGACATTAAATTCCAGGTTCATATATATTTCATATTTAACCTTCAAAGGTTTAACTGCTTTTTGCATGTATTACAAATATAGGAGAGTGCATCAGGGAGTTCTTATTAAAATTTCTTTCTGCAGACATTAAGGTATGTGGAACACTGAAGATTTATCCCATGGTAACCAATAAATTGTATAACTAATTTCATTTTAGTGATAAGTGAATATTTCTCAACAAACACACATACTGCTTGTCATACCTTACCTGGAAAGAGGCTTTATTGAACATAAGCTGTAAAATTATATTTTAAGTTGAATTACTGAATTTGCACAAACATTTCTACAGAATTGTTTTAAAAAATCAAGCTTTGTCGTTTTCCACTACATTTTGTTGTGCTTTTTATATTAATACTCGCAAATGTTATAATTTAATACTTATATTCCAATTACTTGCATAAGCAGGTTTTTTTTAATCCTGGGGTGTTGAGAGAACATATAATAATAATATTCTTCTTAGACAAAAGTCTTTTTAAATGAAGTTAAAAGCTGAGATAATTTAAGGAAAAGGATCTTCAAATTTTCATAACCAACAGGTTTAAGTGAAATTTACAATGCATTGGAAAACTGGCTGGTTAAAGATATGATTTGTCCTCAGGTAGCTCAAAATCATTTTTACAGGTTTTTGTTTTTTTGTAAAAGTGTTTTTTAATCTTGGTAAAATAATAAAATAATATTTCACAATTTGCACAGAGTCTGACTAAAGGGCAGAGGCATATTACCCTTAGAGTTTAGAATAAAGCCAGATTTTTCAGGCCCAGTTCCACTGTAGAGTTAGTATGCACTGCAATCCCAAACATTTTCTTGTTCCCTCTAAAGCTAGGGCCAATTTCATTTCAAATGGAGGTTAGAGTTAAAAAAATCACTTTTGTGTTCTACCACCTTCTGCACTAAGTATTCTTAATAACCTTTTGCTCTGGTTGACCCATTTAATAACCTGGAAGAAAAACAGTGTTGCTCCATGTCTGGTCTCAATGGAAGTAATTTTCTAATGGACAATAAGCCGAAAGGCCATGGCTGTCTAGGAGGTTAAACAACAAATATCTTGTCTGCATGGGCTTACGCAGCAGCTTCGGTCCTTTCTTCTTCAGAAGCGGCTTTGTTGTCTTGCCTGTAATTTGCACATTTAGGCTCTGTAGTTTGTTTATAAAATAGTTTTACACAAACCACTCTTAGCAGTGCAAGCTTCTGAGTTGAAAATTATTCAGGCTTGTTTCATTGAAGGCACTTGGTTTCCATGGCAATTTATAAAAGATGGTGGTTTGGTTTCTTCATTGGAACAGATGACGTAGTTTGGGTGTTCAAGTGGCCGCAAGCAAACTCCGATAAGCCTGTGTAATATGTAAGCCCAGGTTTACCATCCTGGATAGTAGTGCATGCAAAAAGAGACAGCATACAGTTATCTAGCTTAGCCATGGGAGAAAAATAATAATAATAAATGTGGGATGGGGATAAGGTGGGGAGAAACATGAATGCTTTAAATAATTCTGAGTTCGGGTTATTTTCAAGGAAGGGTAACAGCCAAAGGTAAAAGGGCCTACATTTATTTAATTCTCTATGAAAACCTTCTCGAAACGAAAATAAATGCCAGCTCTTCACGTACCCTGTTTACAGTGAGGTTTTTGTTGGCAGGCCATTAGGTTTCCATGGTAACAAGCAAACTATTCATTTGAAACAAAACCAGCCATGACTTTGTGCTTTGACAAGGATTTCTATAGCTCTTTTTTTTTTTTTTCTTTTTTTCTTTTTTTTTTTTTTTTCCAGAGTTCAACCAGATGACGCTGTAATCTTTTTAGCCACAAAAGCACCTGAAGGTCTCTTCTCTACTCAGGTCAAGAATATCTTTTATGTTTAGTTTGGAATAAGTTATACTTCCATGATGTCTTTTTATCCCCAGTGCTTAAAAAAATTTGTTTTTATTATTTTGTTTTTGAGTCAGTAGTCAGTGGAGGAATCTTTGGTAGTTTGTTTGTTCAATGTCCATTTACAAAGACTCTTTCTTCATGCCAGTGCCTGGTGAATCTTTTATAGCCTCTGCCAGGATAAGGTCACCTTCGAGGACTCAAGATAGAGATGAGGACGATAATGGGAAAAAGCCATATATGAACCAAAATCCCAACAGCACCATCAACGGAATCTAAAGATAAGGAAAATAAATGCAAACAAAAAAAAGAAGAATAAGCATTTCACGTAGCTACTAACACAACCTGGGTGAATAATAAAACAAGTATAGGGAAGCTATTTATTTTTATTTTGTTTTGTTTATCAGCTTTATTGCTAAGGGAAGTGAAAAGGAAAATGAATATATGGTAAGGCACTTGATAAAAAGATTTACAGATTTTAAATTGATATAATATGCTATGAAAACTTGTTCGTGAGATATTCACAGAGGTTTGTGGTTGAGCTCAATCTTAGGGAGTTCTGCTAGCCCTAGGAAAGCAGGAACATGGAGAAAATTATCAGAAATCTTCACAAAGTAGATTTTTGTTTTTCAGGCTTCCAGAAGTGGATAAGCTTGAAGACTGAAAGAATATCTTAATGAAAACTAGAAAGGGATGATTATGTGTACCGAAATTAACTATTGCAACTAGTAGATTATCCATGTTTAGATCAGTCCATTATCTATAAATTATACAAATCATTTTCTCTTTAACTTTTAGAGGCATGATGAAGTCCATTCTAACTAAAAAATCCCTTCCACCAATCAGCCTGGAAAGTTCTACTTAATTGGGATTTCTGTTAAAACCTGGTGTCCAGGTGTTGCCTCTTAGAGTGCATGCCTCACTGAGGAGGGATAACACAGGTATAATTCATTAACCTAGCTAAAGTTACAAAATGACTTGTATCTAGGGTAGCGTTGAGTTTGACAATGGAGAAATACAATCTTATATCTGGATGGTGTGGACCATAGTTCCATTTATCGCCCGGAAATAATTGGCAGCCTGAGGAATCAGGAAGAGGCTTTCAGCCTTCAGGTTGGTCTGTACTTAGAATATAATATTCATTTAATAATCATCAATCAATCAAATCCTAGTCATCAAAATGAACTTAATAAATGGTAATTAAATGACACAAATGTAACAGTAAACTTTCTGATACCAAATAGATTATTTTTGTTCAATTAAGATTATTTATTTCCCCTAATTTATAGAGTTTAAATAAAAATATCCCCAATACATATAGGGGGTATTTTCATATTTAAAACTGCCACACATTTCTTGGACTTGCTAGTTTAAGAGGAAAAAAACTAATTATAAAAACGTTCTATTGTAATAGAACTTGTACAGTAATGAAGTCCCTGTGGGCTTTCACAGGCATTTAACTGTGGCTACTTTTATCAGTTATGCTTTCTTTCTGCACTAGGGAGTAAATAATTTCCTTTGCTTTCCTCCTTTGAAAAGTTTAATTCAACTTATTGAATTTATTTATAAGATTTGTGCTTATATTATGAAAATGTAAAATTTCTGTATATAGTTGTAACTGCCTTTAATTAATAAAATGTTACTGCCACGCAGTCATACTATGAAATTCAAAAGAAATACTATTATCCTTTGAGGAGAATACATGTTTTCCTGTGCATTAGAAAAACTGTTTTTTTGAGTATAGCTACTGGTTTTCTAAAGCAGAACTAGACAGACACAAGGATAAATTTTTACTAAATATCTTATTTGAAATACTAAGTTTATGACAAGATACTATGAGCAAAATGGCTCATTGTTATATAAAAATCTTAGTTTTTGTCTTTTGATAATACTTAAGAATTGAGTCAATTCAGTTCATATGAGTAATCAGTGGACAATTGTACACATTTAACTTTGAACATCTAGACTGATATAGTTTCTCACCAAATATAGAAAATTAACAAAGACTCTGATTTGCTCTAGACTTACACAAGATAGATTTTCATGCTTTTGTATGTGCTAAATAATTGATGAGCAATTTGTGTAAATTTAGTTTGATTACTTTCTCTATATATGACCACAAAATAAAAGATTCCAGATGAGTCTAAGATAATCCTTCAATTGCAGTCATTTTTAACAGGAATGATTTTATAGATTTCAGAGCTTCAAATGTGAAATACAGAGATGAGGATTTTAAGAAGCAGCTAAACACATAATTCTAAATCTTTGTGCATTATTTATCATGTTTTATTTATATCTCTTCTATTATAAAATGGACCTGTGATGAAAAAATAAAATTAAAGATATCATTAAACCGTCATATTCAAAAGAGGGTATACAGTGAAAATCAAATTACTAAACAAGCTTTTGGTGCAGATAGGAGATTAGACCATATTAGGGCTACTTCATTACTTAATATATATATTTGGGCTCTTTACAATGCTGAATCTGTTAAAATGGCTGGCAAAAGGCCAGGAGCAGTGGCTCACGCCTGTAATCCCAGCAGTTTGGGAGGCCGAGGCAAGTGGATCACCTGAGGTTGGGAGTTCAAGACCAGCCTGGCCAACGTGGTGAAATCCCGTCTCTACTAAAAATACAAAAAATTAGCAGGGCGTGGTGCCGCGCGCCTGTAATCCCAGCTACTCAGGAGGCTGAGGGAAGAAAATCACTTGAACCCGAGAGGCGGAGATTGCAGAGTGAGCAGAGATTGCACAGTTGCACTCCAGCCTGGGCAATGAGAGCAAAACTCCATCTCAAAAAAAAAAAAAAAAAAAAAAAAAATTGGTTAAGTCAGGAAATATATTCACTATATTCACAAACTGGAGGCATAAAAACATCTATGCTGACATAGTAAGGCTTGTGTCCTCACACAAATCTCATCTTGAAATATAATCCCCATAATCCCCACGTTTCAAGGGAGAGACCAGGTGGAGGTAATTGAATGATGGGGGCAGTTCCCCCATACTGTTCTCATGAAAGTAAGTTTTCACTAGATCTGATGATTTTATTATTATTATTTATTTATGTATTTTGAGACGGAATCTTGCTCTGTCGCCCAGGCTGCAGTGCAGTGACGTGATTTCAGCTGACTGCAAGCTCCGCCTCCTGGGTTCACGCCATTCTCATGCCTCAGACTCCCGAGTAGCTGGGACTACAGGGCACCACGCCTGGCTAATTTTTTTCTTTGTATTTTTTAATAGAGACGGGGTTTCACCGTGTTAGCCAGGATGGTCTCCGCCCACCTCGGCCTCCCAAAGTGCTGGGATTACAGGGGTGAGCCACCGCGCCCGGCCAATCTGATGATTTTATAAGGGGCACTTCCTCCTTCTCTCAGCAATTCTCCTTGCCGCCTTGTGAAGAAGGTACTTTGCTTCCCCTTCACCTTCCGCCATGATTGTGAGTTTCTTTAGGCGTTGACCAGCCTTGCCGAACTGTGAGTCAATTAAATCTCTTTCCTTTATAAATTGGCCAGTCTTGGGCAGTTCTTTATAGCAGTATGAAGATGGACTAATACAATTTACATTATAAATATGTGCTACGTATACAGGTTCATCAAATATTTTAATAAAAGTTTTAAAATCGTCTAAAACAAATAATGTCAAATAAAGTGTTTTAAAATCTTAAAAATAAAAGTGTACTTGCCTTACACAGATCTAAATCAAAATCTCACTTCTATTTTACCTTAGGCCAAATATGTCTGCAATTGAATTTAATACTTTAAAAATAACTGAAGAAACTTTAGCGTATTAGATGTAAGAATTTTTAAATAAACCAACTAAAAATAACTGTTTTTAAAATTAATTAAATTAAATGTTAATTTAATAGTAATGTTACTTTAACGTTACAACAAACCAATCTCAAGCAAAGACACTTACTCTTAGTTGCTAGGTCTTGTTTTGCACATTCTCCTTCTGCAATTGATACATCATCAATAGCAATGTCACCTTCTATTCCAGGACCTCGGATACCTTCAAAAATGAGCTACAAATATGAATGAAACAAACCTAAATGTGGAGCTTTGATTTGCAGATCAATTTCTTTTGAGAAATCAAGGAGACAAAAGTAAACTTGTCAGTAATCCTGGCATCTTTTAGATTTGATGACTTTCAGAATTAAAACGTGCAGAAAACATAAACTTTCATCCCAAAACGGGTAATTTAATCTTCCTTGCATTATATTAGTTTTTCTCATCAAAAGCTCTGTGTCAATTTTAAAGCAAAACTAAATTTAATCAAATAATACAATAAAAAAAACAATGACTACACATCCTCTTTTAATTTTTAAGGATAAGAAAACAATGTTTTATTTGAAAAGTCTTTCTCTGACATAGATATTTTCTGGTTTTATCTGAACATAACTCATAGCATTAGTTTTCTAGAAATACTTTAAAGAATGAATCAATTCTGGATTCTTTACAACAGTAATATGGATATTGAAGCCCAGACCAAAGTTTTTCTATCTCTGACATTGATTTCTCAGAAACAGACTGAATATGTTCGTCATATTCCCATGTTGACTTTATAATTTACCTCCATGATTTCACTGCTGATATTCCATTTTTTAAACTTGAAGATATTTATCAGTCTATTTATGTTGAATATCTCATGGTATACCTTTGAATTTATGGTGGCTGTAACAATGGTGGTCACTGAGGCTCAGTGCATGAATATTGAAAGAATAAATGAGTACAATCAGAATCCTTTATTATTAAATACTCAATACAATGACAACAGAAGCACAATTAGCAAATTTATATATATATTTTATTTTTATAGAAACAATACTCTTAGAATTTTCTTTATGACTCCCAAATTATTCCTTGCTTTCAGGAAAACTTTTTAATCTTTTTGATACTGTAAGGCAATTCATGCATTTAGTGGTGGGTGTGTAGTTCTAGAAAAATATTTACATGTTAAAAGAAAATATCTACTTTGGTCATTCCAAAGAATAATTTTATAAAAAGCTGTTTCTAACATCAATCTGGTAATGTGCATTATTAATAACATTCCTAGACTTATGTCATCACAACAGATTTGACAATGTTTATTTTTATCAATGTCAAAGTTTTTGTTTTTGTTTTTGTTTGAAAACATCTCCTCAAAGGCAAATCAGAGTCATTTCTGAACTTTTCAAAGCTGCTGTCCTGGGAGAGCCATAGCTTAATTACGATGATTTTGAGAGAACTTAGGCTATTTTTGAGAAATTGATCCAATGGTCTTTGATATGCTCTCATAATTTTATCAAAGGGAATCTCCAGGTAGTAAGCAGAGGGAATCAGTTGTCAACTTTTGTATTGAGACCCTGTCCTTCACTTAAATGTAGTTCATAAACAAAGAATAATTTTCATGATTTGATAGCAGAGAAAAATGTGAGTCCTTACTGATATATAAATATGATAAATATGGAGTTCCCTGCTTGTCTATGTTAAGATAAGCATGTTCTTAAAGATTCTCCAAAGCCATCTCTTTGAAAAACATTTAAAATGGTCTGTTTCACTGAAGCCAAAACAAAATGGCAGCTGCTAGCTTGGTTCTACTGTTTTATGTATTATGCTTGTTCCTTCGAATGATTAAAGGTTTTGTAGCTACCATGGTTCATCAGAAAACTTCAGCACAAGTGTATTACATAAAATACTATAATCAAGTTAGCAGCTTAGCAAATCCTCAGTCCTCAGATAGAAGTATTATTGTGGCTGCTTGGAATTGATGACTTCCATTTGAGATAGGATGGTGTCTGGAAAGGTAACTGGGAAGTGGCTTTAAAAAGTCTCAGAAGACTTTTAAACAGTCCTTTATTTGAAAGGTCTATGAGAAAGAATTTAGAAAAAAAATGAAAAGTATAAACATTTGAGAGAATTGAATATGGAGAAAGGGAAGTCATTTTAAGGTGCAGGATAGTCCACATTATGGATATAATTTATTTAAACAGTACCCTATAGTCATTGTTAGACATTAGAACTATTATCTCCTATTATGAACAAGGCTGAGGTGACTACATTTCAAGCACATTGTTGTTTAAGGTCTATAAAGTGCCCCTATGAGCAAACTACCTGTGAGAAAATATTTCCATTTTTCCAAAGGTGGGTTTTTAAGTCTTGGGGTATATTTTCCCTCTTTGATATGTGTCCCTTACCTGATAGAGAGTCAATGTTAGAGTAAATCAATAGTTACCATTAAATACTGTTTGTAGAGTGCAATACAGGTTTTACAATGTAGCCATAGCAAAGATAAGGGGTTTGCATTCCCATGTGCTTTATGTGAGCAAGTGAGATGTGGTGAAGAGTCTAATAAAGGTGGGTTAAAATGCTCTGCACCTGCTCGCGCTTGAAATTTACACAGATGAAGCTGAAGTCAAAATCCTTTTATTAGGAAGGATGTTTGAAAAACATCCCTGTGCTCTGTATCACTGAAGCCAAAACAAAATGGCAGTACATGGATTTCCCATCTTAGCTGTGTAAAGGTAAAAAGTTTGAAGAAAATACGTACGCTTTTTCTTATTCAAAGTACATAATTGCTTTTACTTAGTAAGTTCTTGTTAATTCCAGGTAGGAGTCATATAAAATGGTGAGATTTCTTTAAAAATCAAAACTAAAACATACATGTCATCAAAGTCATTTCTGAATTTTTCAAAGCTGCTGTCCTGGGAAAGTCATAGTTTAATTACAATGATCGTGCCATTACTCAAAGCATTTCAACGCTTCTTCTGCTACTGCCTTTAAAGGATTAAACAATTCTCCTTTTTCTGTTACTTTGCTTTTTCATCCTGTCTTCCTGCCTCCCTGTGTAGCTTGATCAAAATCAAAAGGTTGGACCTAGGCTTGTGCTAAAAAAAAAAAAGTCCAAGAGCAGTGAAATTGCGAAAGACAGACCCTTTTGTAGTCAGATTGAGAGAATGTGTCAGAAACCATCTGTAGTAAACATCAGGAAGCAGATTGACTAATGTAATTTAATATGTGTGCCACCTACCTACTGGCAATATGTTGACTATAAGTTTGTGTTCTGCTGAAGAGCAAAAGTAGAAATCAACAAAAATCAAAGCGTGATGTGTCCACAGGGCTTCGTATACCTACAACATTACCTTATGTGAATATTTCATCCCTTGGTGATACCGAATGAATGAAGTGGTACGGTAAAAAAAAAGTAGGCTGATTTGCAAATATATTATTTACATTTACATTTACAATTATTGATATTACATTTTGTCACTGATAAAGCAATGTAATTTCTTTAAGTATAGCAGGAATTTTAGACATTGTGTGTAAATAAATAAATCTAATTAGTGGTTATTTATTGGAATGATTAAAATAATTTCTAGGAATAAAACTCTTAGTACAGGCATAATTTATATTTTTAATATTTATTTGTAATCTTGTGATGATGAATCTATTTTAATAGGCCAGAGAAATACTTGCAGTCTTCCACAGGGTCCTTTTTGAACAGAAAGAAAAAGGTCCTGTGTAGCATGTTTGTTTCCTTTTGATTTCCACAGTTGTGCTATTAGGAAAATATAGATTAGTTTTTAACTGGTTGAATTTCACAAAGAAATTTTTTTTTTTTTGAGACGGAGTCTCGCTCTGGCGCCCAGGCTGGAATGCAGTGGCCGGATCTCAGCTCACTGGAAGCTCCGCCTCCCCGGGTTTACGCTGTTCTCCTGCCTCAGCCTTCTGAGTAGCTGGGACTACAGGCGCCCGCCACCTCGCCCGGCTAGTTTTTTTTTTTGTATTTTTTAGTAGAAACGGGGTTTCACCGTGTTAGCCAGGATGGTCTTGATCTCCTGACCTTGTGATCCGCCCGTCTCGGCCTCCCAAAGTGCTGGGATTACAGGCTTGAGCCACCGCGCCGGGCCACAAAGAAATATTTATTGCATTGTTTTATTTATGCTCTGAGCTCTTGACTACAATTAATTTCTGAATTATTGTAATTAATTTTTTTAGATTCAAACAGATTCATAAATGACTCCTAGACTAAAATCTAGAGAGAGCGTGTTTGACTTGACATTGTTTTTGTGTGAGTTAGATTAGACAAATATAAAGTGTAGATATTAAATTTAAATGATGTGCCTTAGCCAAACTTTTAAGCATTTGTAAAAATAAATCTTTGCTTGGCATTTTCTGGAATATAAAGATGAGAAATTTTAAGTCCATTAAAGTATGATGTGTTTAGCCATAGAAGATGTGATCTTTACACAACAACAAAAAATATTAATTATATTTATTTTGAGAATTAAGACTCTAGTTTAAAAAGTTAAATTGTCATATTTTTATGACTTTCCATCATTATTTTGACTACTATTACATTACAGAGATAAAACCATTTTCATTTCCTCTTCAGTACTTCTGAAATGCATTTGGTTTAACTGACTTGAAGAAGGAATTAACAGCATCTAGGTACCCATGGAGAAAATGTTAAGGTTTAGGTCTCCTAAAAGAGGGATAAAATTATGCAAAACCCATTCCTCCCACACAATAGCAATATTATTTAAAATTATTTCCCTTAATTGAAATGACGAGTTTAAAATTGAAATGTTTTCACAGTGTGTTCATGCAACTCAGCAAGCTTAACATATAAAAAATACTGCATAATCAGAAAATTAACTTTTAGTAAGTAAATTCAAATGGGAATTTTAAAATTAATGTGGATTTCTGTATTAGAATTATACCTCACAAAATTTTCAATTCATCAATTGACAGTTTCTTACACACATTATAATGCTTCAAAGCATATAAATATAGATGTCAAAATAAAAATATAGATGATGCTATGAAAGTATGGGTTCAAATGTAATTTCTCAGCAGGAAAAGAAGAGCTACATGCATCACTAATTTGTAAAAGTAGATGGGGGAATTAAATAATACAATGCACTTCTGATGATTTGCCTTCATTTTTAATGGTGACTTTTGCAAATATTTATAACACAGTTTCTTCCTGACAAAAGGCAAATCATTTCTAATCATTACTGCTAAGGCAAATGCAAAACCCTAAGACTGCAGTTTGAAAACCGACAGTACATATCACTTTGAAAAACTTCAGGATATAAATATATTTTAAAATAAACATTAGCATTAATAATATTATCTTTATTTTATTACTGGTTTAGCAAATAATTGAACTATCCTCAACCATTACAAAACAAATTTGAAGAGAGACAACATAATAGACCTAGTGGGTAGCCTTGGCTTTTTCCCTGAGGAAACCATCTCAAATCAGAACGGTGAGTTTAACTTCACAGTGCTCCGCCAGTTCAACTTGTGGGACAAATGTCAATTAGCTGTCAGAATTTCTAATGTTAAATAATAACATGAAAGTCGACTGTTGGGAAAGACAAAGAAATTCATCAAGTTGTGAGCTGCAATTGGTAAATGTTTTTAATGGTTAAGTCAGGAGTCACCATTGTGTCCATATAATTGCCCTGGAATGTGGCTTAGAATGCCAGATATGCTACATGAGCATGTAATGTCTGCTAATGAGGACAATATTTTCTAGCTTATTTTTATTCTTAGTTGGAACACAGGGCAGAATGATGTAAGGAGAGCAGTATAGTCTCTTTTCCAGTCCCTGTTACAGTGTTAAGCATTTCTACCTTTATTTTCTCAAAAATTACGTCAAAACCTATTTCTAAGTCTTGAAATGAATAAGTAAGAGCAGGAGATTTCCAGAATCCCTTTCACTTAAACTAAGAAAATGTAAGGAGCATTTTGTGTTTTATAATCTATTTATATACTTTACCCCTGGAAAACATTTGGAATATACTGTGAAAGAAGTAAAACATTAAAAGGGGATGGTTAAATATTTTCCTTGGTATGGGATGTAAAATTAATTGACATTATAAGAATATATTCATTTTGTTTCTTTGGAATTGTTGCCCTAATTTTTCCAAATGTAGCAAAATATATTTTCATCCCAAGCACTGATCATGCTAAGTTAATTCTAGTAAATGAACCCAACATAAATTTCAATAGAATAAAACTTCTACTTGTCTTGAAAAGTACTAAACAATAATTGTATTTTCAACTAAGCAAACTAATTGGACCCACTCAAACAAAGGACTGTCCAAGTAATTTTGTAAAGGATTTATGGATCAAATTAATTTAAAGTCATGCAACTCAAAACAAATAAAACAGCATAAATGTTAGTGAAAGAGACTCAAAGTCACTTATATTCCATTTAAAATTTCAAGAGGTAAAAGTTTTGCCTTCCACTTGAAGTAAATACATCCTCAAATGCCAGAAAGTTACATTTGAGTAATATTAAAGCTTCTCACAACTTAATTTATATGGTAATATATTGGTATCATTGTTGTTATCAGGAGTTCCTAGAAGATGTTACACACCAAAAAAAGTATTTTTGAGAAGCTTGACAAGTTATAAAAGATTTTTGGGTAAAAAAAATACTTTGTATAAAAAATTCAAAACAAATCTTCTCTAAAATGAAATAAGACAAAAACAACAAAAGCGGCATGGGATTATTTAGTTGTGTTTCATGTTTCCTTGAACAATCAAGATTAATGAAATAGAGTCCTTAGCCAATAGACCTAGAAATATGTTGGGAAATGAAAGAGCATAGATCAAAATAAAAAGATGATTTTATCTATCTTTATTTTCCATTGGTAATTTAAATAGCTTAAACATGCATCAATTCGAACTATTTACAAATACAAATTTTTCCATTTGTTTCCAAGAAAAATAGAGTAACAGGAACAAAAGCTATCTTTCTACTTTAAACAACCAAATACCTGGGCCAAGTATATGAAACCACAGTGTTAAGGATACTAGATATCAGATAATGAAGACGTGTGTTCCCTGGGAAATGGGAGTCAAATAAGGTGAATTCTGTTGACCAATACAAAGTTTATAGGCCATGGTGCAAGTAGAGGAAAGGAAGGTGAAACCTGGTAGAAAATCTGAGTTGAGGAGATGAGAGTTCCAAAAAACAAAGGAAGCTGGAATGTTCAGGGCAGAATACCAGAGAAAAACAGTGGCAGAGAAAAAGAGAGAGAGAAACAGAGCACTGCAGAGAGTCCCCCTTGAGTATTCAGCAGAATACTGATCAGGACATGAAATGAGGAATCTACCCAATACTTGGGAAAGAACCAGAGGGATCAGTTTGAGTTAACAGTGCCCAGCCTTCACAGGACTGGGAATGGTGACTGCTCCCATCCACCACATGGAAAAATTTCGTAATACATGGGACATTTGGTGGAGGATTCAGAATAGTCTTGCCTCCATCATGAGAAATAATTAGCCCTATATCAAACATTACTCTAGTCTCACCTGACAAATCTTAACAGCAACACCTAAAATAATGAAACTGTTTTGAAGTGACTTAACTATCTTCCCTGAAAAAGCTCAAGAATATTCATAAGAATACAAAAATATGCAGCACCTATCAAGGTAACAGTCACAATGTCTAGTACCCAAATTACCAGACTTGTAAAAAAATAACGAAAACAATGATCCATTATGAGAAGAAAAATCAATCAACTGAAACCAACCAAGAACTTATATAGATGTTGGCAATAGCAGATAATTTAAAATGGTTATGATAACTGGATTTCATACATTTAAAATATTAACTAAAGACATACAAATATTTGCTAAAAAGATTCAAATTGAACTTACAGAGATGAAAAATCCAATGACTTAGATGAAAAATACACCAAATAAAACTAAAAGTAAATTAGACATTGTGGAAGAAACTATTGTTGAATGTGAAGACAGAATAAAAACTATCACAAATTAAACATAAATAGAAAAAAATGCAAATGCCATAATGATTTGTGTGACACTTTCAAGCGATTTTATCTATGTGTGATTGAAATCTTCAAAGGAGAGGAGGACTAGCAGAAGTATCTGAAGAAACATTAGTGAGAAAAACCTCAAATTTTATGAAAACTATAAATCCATAGATCCAAGAAATTTAATGAACACGGAGCACATATAGAAGGAAGAAAAATATATCAAAGCACATCACAATACAATTTATAAAAATGAATGATAAGGAAAATCTTAAAAGCAACCAGAGAAAAAAGTCACATTACATACAGAAGAATAAATTTAAGGCTATCCACAGATTTATTCCTGGAAACAATGCAAACAAGAAGAATATGGTACAATATCTGAAAAGTTCTTAAAAACAACAACAACAACAACAACAACAACAAAAAACAAACAAGGATGCTTAATCAGAGGAAACTTTCAAAAAATGTGTGGTATATTATGATCTTGGTATTTTGTTTATTGTGAACTTTGCTGGAATTTTGTGTTGGAGAGGCAGTCATGTGGGAAGTGAAAGTATATCTAGAATAGTATCAACTTTTTAGAAAAAATTTTGCTTTTTAATGACAATATCAGTATATACATTTTAATATTAAGGTTACTTCTGTCAGTAATACTTTGGAATCCTATCTTCACAGTTTAATTTAGTTTGATGATATGTTGTCATTCATTCGACTGTATTGTTCTTCATAGAAACAAAATGATTCTTTTATTTTTCAGAATCATATGGGAATAAATCTTTTATATATCTGTAGATAATTGGCTAGTCTTACTCTCTGATTCTTTATCATTGTGAATGACTATGTATTTTTATCATCCTGGTTTGATTTAGAAGTGCAATCTCCAAAGCAATTAGAATTTATAGATTAGATTACAAGAAAAGGTCATTCCACCAATTAAAAATTGGCACGATTTTCTATACCCTTACAACATATGCCATGAAATGCATCCAAAAAAAACACTAGTAGAGGAAACATTCAATGCTATAAATACAGTGTCATGAAATAGATTTGAATTCTTTTGAAATAAGGCATAGAGTTGCAGAAGATATATGTCATAGACTTTGAAGATATTTTACCATATTTTTAAAATATAAAAATATTTGTATATGTAGATATATATTTATATATGTATATATGTTTATACACATTAAAATCATTAAAAACTGTATTAACTCCATTGAAATAGCTTAATCATCTGTTGTCTCTAGATACAATGGCCAGTGTTGCAGTCTTTACAATTTCTGCATTTTTACTGGTAACTCTCTTAGCTAACTCTCTAAGTTTTACTTCTTTTCTATATAGAAACAAAGAAAAATAAAGTCATCTTAATTTTAATAATCAGTGATCAATTACTGATATGGCATTAAATCAAAAGGAACTTTTTGCTATGAGTACATAAAACTTCATCAAGAAAAATTCAAACAGATTGATAATTGATTACTAAGTTCCATTATTATAGAAACTTTTTTATATATATATATATATATTTTTTTTTTCAGGGAGTAAAATATAAGCATGTGGTTTTATAGAAATGGATTACATTTTTTCCAGGCAAATCATTTAAATTTTGATAAACTATTATTCAAACCAATTACTTGATGAGTATTAATGAATAAAGGAAAAGCGCATTTATCTTTATAAAGCAGCTTTTAGAACTAAAGCAAAACTTAATCATAATTTTTGTGATGCTTATATCATGGGATTTCTGAATATTCATATTTTAATATTTCCTCAAGATCTACCTTTAATGTTATGCTCATTTACATCAACTAATTAGCCAAAATTACTATTCTTACCTGAAATGAAGTAATTGGGTATATATTAACATGAGCCTCATTCCATCTTTGTCCTTTATTCCCACTTGAAGACCACAGTGGATTCTCTATTGTTGTTTGCCCTTTCAAACGTAGATAAACATTTAAGACGCCTAAAAATGACAATAAAATTTTATTTTGCATAGTCATTTTCAACTCAAATTTGTTTTTCCTTGACCAAATACTCGTAAACTTTTTAAACTGAAATTTTACAGAACACTCTAGTGTCTTGCCCTCTCTTCTCCTCTCATTTCCTATTTTGCTCTTATGACATTTGACATTTGATCCAAAAGTAACCATGTCCTAATTCCCTAGAACATGTGAATGTTGCCTGATACTGCAAAAGGGATTTAAGGATTTTGCAATGGGGAGATTATTCTAGATTATTAGGGTGAGTCCTAAATGCAATTACGTATAGCTTTATAAAACAGAGGCCGAGGGAGATTTGATACAGGAAAGAAGGCCATGAGAGAGAAAGAGATGTTACATGGCTGGTTTCGAAGATCGAGGAGAGGGCCACAAGGACTACTGGCAGCTTCTTGAAGCTAGTAAAGACAGAGGAAAGGGCTTCTCTCCCGGAGCTTCAGAAGAAGCCAGCTCTGATGACATCTTGATTTTAGGCCCAGAATGCTTTCGGTAGATTTCTATTCTCAAGAATAAGATAATAAATTTGTGTTGTTTTAGGTCATGAAGTTGGTGATCATTTGTTATTTGTTACAGTAGCAAGAGGAAATGAATATAGCATGTAATCATGTACTGACTAACTTGTTCAGAGTTGGACTCTAATTCTGTCGTCTTATATTATCATTTAGAATCTTATTTTTTCAGTTTGATTTTTACCCGTCTCATTTTTCTTCTAAAATAGTTATTGGAATATAAAATGAAGATAGCTTTTATCTCATCGTTTGATATCTCTTTCAACAGTTTAATGTGCTGTACACAGTAATGATATTAATGATGATAATGATATTAATACAATAAATATATTTTGAACACTTACTCCAGATGAGGAATTAATCCTCTCAACAATCCTATGAAGTATTTATTATTATTATCCCCACATTATAGATGAGAAAACTTAGAGGGGTTAAACAATTTGCTCTATGTCATACAGTAAGAACATAGCACAAGCAGGATTTGAACTCAGGGAGTTTCAGAGTCTTACATCTTAATCACTAGGCAATCAATATTTTAATAGATAATTTTAAAAATCAACTTTATTGAGGTAAAATTTACATGCAATAAAATTCATTCATTACTATGTGTATAGGCCAATAATCTTAGACTAATGTCTACTACAATGTTAGTACTTGATCAAGATACAATTAATGTATCTTGATCAATGTTCAAGATACAGAACATTTCCATTTCCTCAAACAATTCTCTCACTTTCCTCTGTAGTTTATCTTCCCAGCCACCCTACCTTTGCTAGATAACTAGTGATCAGGCTTCTATCACTAATTAATGATTTCTTTTATAGAGTGTCATATTAATGGAATTAGGCAGTATATAATTTTTGTGTTTGGTGACTTTCCCTCAGTGTAATACTGATGATATTTATGTCATTGTTTTATTAGTCATTTTAAATTCAATGCTTAGTTTACTTATGTTTAATGTACTTTACTGGTGTGTTTATACTTAAATACACCATCTTGTTGGTTTGCATTTCTTTCTTCTGTTTTTCCTTCTCCCTATCCCCTTCCATTCCTTTTTTCCAGGAACAGATTTTTTTCAGGATTTATAAAAAAATAAAAGATTTCAATTTATGTAGTCTACTGACTTCTTAACTATATCTCCTTTTACTATGCATTAGTGATTATTTTAGAGTTAAAAAGATATAACTTTTCAGAGCCTAATTTGAGTCAATATTTTACTTCTTCATACTTACAAATCGTAATTCAAACTCCCTTCACATGTTCCACTATTACCTTATCCTATTCACTTCAGATTCTATATCTCCACAAATGTAACAACCTTACACAACATATAATTCATTTATCTGCCTCATTTCTTTACTCAAATATATTTTACTTTTGTTTACATTGTAAACCTCACCTTACGGTACTATTTTTAAGAGCCAGATATGAATATATTTTCTATAAATTATAAGAAGAAAGGAAATATGGCATTTCAGTTTCCACTTATTCCCATTTCTGGTGGTTTACATTTCTACCTGTAGATATGAGTTGCAATCTGGCACCCATGGCCCAGAAGGCATCCCTTAGCAGTTTTTTGCAGTGATGAGCTTCTAGGGACAACATTTCTCTGATTCCTTTAGGTAAAAATATTCTCATTTCTCTCATATTGCTCGTGAGGTATAGATGGCAGGGTTTTTTTTTTTTTTTCCAGCATATTAAAGGTGTTCCATTATCTTCTGCATGCTATTTCTAATGTGAAATAAACCATCATTCATTTTTGTCTGTCTTGTACATAGTATGCTTTTCTTTCTCTCTCAGGCCACTTTGGAGAATTTCCCTTTGTCTTTGGTTTGCAGTAGTTGATTGTGATGAATGTAAATATGGTTTTCTTTAGATTCATCTTGCTCAGGGTTATGCTGAGTTTCTTCTAAGTCTTTTCCATTAATTCTTTTACAAATTTGTTTTATTTAATCTTACTCTTTTTTTAAGAGATGGGGTCTTGCTCTGTCACCCAGACTGGTGTGCAGTGGTGCCATCGCACCTCACTGCAGCCTCAAACTCCTGGGCTCAAGGGATCTTCCCACCTCAGCTTCCAAAGTAGCACATACTACAGGGGCACCCCAACATGCCTAGCTTTTTTTTTTTTTTTTTTAATGAGTGGAGTCTCTCCATCTTACTCAGGTAGATCTCCAACTGAGTTCAACCAATCCTTCTGCCTTGGCTTCCCAAAGTGTTTGGGATTACAGATGTGAGTTACCATGCCTGGCCCCATTATTTCTAACAATATTTTCTGCGACGTGTCTCTTTCCTCTCTTTTGCACAATTGACTTATAAGTCAATTATATATATAATATATATATTTAAGTACTTATATATAATGTAACTTGATATTCTTGTATAGGTCATTATGGCTCTGTTTATTTTTCTTCAATATTTTCCCCTATTTTCTCAGATTAGAAAATTTTCCTTGTCTTCAAGTTCATTGACTTTTTTTTCTGTCATCTCCAGTCTTCTGCTAAGCCCATCCAGTAAATTTTTTTGTTTATTGTACTTTGTAGTATAATTCTTATTTAGTCCTTTTGTATAGTTTCTTTTTCTGCTGAACTTCTTTATCCATTCACTCATTTTATTTCCTTTGATTCTTTCAGCACATTCTCTTATTTCATTGAACACATTTATAATATCTTTTTTTTTGAGATGGATTCTCTCTCTGTCGCCCAGGCTGGAGTGCAGTGGTGCGATCTCGATCTTGGCTCACTGCAAGCTCTGCCTCCCGGGTTCACGCCATTCTCCTGCCTCAGCTTCCCAAGTAGCTGGGACTACAGGTGCCAGCTACCACACCTGGCTAATTTTTTGTATTTTTAGTAGAGACGGAGTTTCACCGTGTTAGCCAGAATGGTCTCCATCTCCTGACCTCGTGATCCACCTGCCTCGGCCTCCCAAAGTGCTGGGATTACAGGCGTGAGCCACCGCGCCCAGCCTATAATACCTTCTTTAAAGCCTCTATCTGCTAAGTCCAAAGTTTAATTTTCTTAACTTTGGTTTCTACGAACTGATGTTAACTTTTTATGGCTATGAATCATATTTTCTATTTATTTGTATATCTAGTGACTTTCAGTGAGTTATGGGCATTGTAGATAGACCATTATAGAGACTCTTCAGCTGTAATGTTTCTCAGAAGGCTATTGGTTCTTGTTATAGCACATTGTTCAGTTATAAATTGACCATGCTGAACTTGTATAGGCTTGATTTTCCACTACTAATGCAGATCTGTGAAAACCCAAAATTGTTGCCCTAAATTCTCTAACTTTATGGGACTCAATCTCCAAATCTGTCTTACCCATGAATCTTATTGGGGCTTGCATTTAGGCGTTTTTAGAGAATGTCTAGAGAAGGCCTTTCTCCCAGGTATGATTCTAGCCTTTCTGGTTTCATCGTGCTGCCAGGGATTTTATGAGATCTCTACACTCTCATCAAGTTTCATGGCTGAGACTTCAATATTGCATGCTGCTCTCCTCTCAGGTCTCCTTGCACTCCCCATCTTTGTTGTGCTGCTAGTCTCACAAAGGTTGCTATAAGTCTTGGTTTTTCTAGTCTTCTACATGTACAGTCTAGCCTTCAGCAAATACTCCTGAGGGAACCCCGTACAGACTTCTGGATTCAACCCTGCACATCTCTTTTCTTTCTGTTGTCCTGACCCACAGATTCCAGTGACATCAATTGTACAGTACGCTAATCTTTGTTCCCTGACTGAGTGGGATCCTCACATTCTGCTTGAATTTCTGGGATCTGTGGCAAGTTCAGGAAATTGTCCTTAGGCAGAGAGCTTGACTGTCATGGAGATCATTCCATTAGTTTCTCTTTTCTCATCCATTGCAGTCTTACCCTGTTTTTTGGTCTATTCTCTAAAAAATGGTTTCTAACATATTTTGCCCATTTTTATGCTTGTTTAGGGCAATAGGACTTATCTGATATCATTTACTACTCCTTGGCTTTAAGACGATCTCATTTTGATAACAGATAATTATATAAATTATTAGTAATATGTTAATATATACACTTCACAATAGACATATAAAATTTCCACATAATGTAGTATATAGACTTATTTATATGAATATTGTACATAAATTCTAATGAACAGAAAAGACAATATAACATTATCATTAAATGAAATCACTCAGAGGGTAGCCTTCTTAACATTTTGTTGTATGTTGCTTTAGCTTTTAAAGCAATGTATCGTTATATGTATCGTTATATGATATAGTTTATTCTTCCAATTTTTAGAGAAATTTTCTTTAATTCTTTACACATAAGACTATATGTATGCATATAAGTATATAAATATGGGTATCCACTTTTTAAGCAAAAACTGCATTCTTTATATCACAGCTGGATGACTCTGTCTTCATATCTAAATCTCTAATTCCCTCAACTTCCTCATTAGGCAAATGATAACTAAATGATGATAACTA